CATCATCTTCATTCATTCATTCATGCTATAAGCATTTATTAAACACCTATTCTATAAGCACCTCATGAGCAGAGATTGTTTCACTCTTCATACCTCTATCCCCAGCACCTAACACAGTGCCTAGCACATAGCAGGTGCTTTAAAATACTTGTTGAATGATGTCTTGTGAGCAGAGAAGTAGCTTGAAGTAGTATACAGAAGGCTGTCCTTGGTGTCACCAAGGCAAGTCACTTCACCTTTGCCTGCCTCAGTTTCCTCAACTGTAAAATATAGGTAATAATAGTACCTATCCCACCAGGGTTATTTTGAAGATCAACTAACACCAGTTTTGTAAAGCTCTCGGTATCCGTAGGCAACTCTCTAAGACTTATGGTACAGATAACTTTCTAATCTGTATCAATGAAGGAGGTTTCCAAACTGAGAGTTCCCTACACAGAACCAGAGTAACCTAGCCCTCCTTCATAATGGGTAAAGGCACTGTGCGAGAACCTGGTGATAAAAAGACAAAAACGGAATATTCCCTGCCCCCAAAGAGGCTTCATGGGGATGTGCTTACCTTTGCCCAGGGTCTTCGCTCTCTTATGTAAGCTGCAATCTTATCCAACTAACTACATCAATGGGATCTTAGCCTGCCAAATGACCATGCTTTGCTGGGATCCTGAAAGTCTTTCTACCAAAAATCCGCTGAATGGGCCAACAAAGAAATGATCTTTAGTGTTGGGGTTTTTAGCCTCCCTCTCACTCAGCTTTCATCAATAGGAACCAATCATTATCGCAGACCCAGTCACATGCTCCTCTCAGCTGCCAAAGGGACTTTCTTAGCAAAAAGTCACTTCTCAGTGAGCTCCAGTGGTTCCCTACACCCTCTGGAATAAAATTTAAAATCCTTTGTTTAGCCTTTCAGGCCCTTCCTGCCATCCCAGCCTTAGAACGTACACATTACTCTCCATTATTCTATTTCCCAACTTTACAATGACCTTAGTGTTGCTCATACAAGACGCTGCATCTCCCTACCCCATACCTTCATCTTGACTGTCTTCATGCCAAGAATGCCCTTCCTCTTCACGGCCAACTGCTCCTTCCCTGGCTTCCTTCAGGACTCAGCTCAAATCCTTTCTTCACGAGGTTTTTGCATTCCCTCAGTGGCTGGTGCCTTCCTTCTGAAATTACTATCCATCTACATCCTTTCTTCCTTTCTTTTTCTTCCGTCCTTTTTTTTTCTTCCTTCCTTTTTTCTTTCTTTCTTTCTTTCATTCTTTCTTTCTTCCTTCCTTCCTTTCTTTTTCTTCTTTTCTTCCTTTCTTTTTCTTCCATCCTTTTTTCCTTCCTTCCTTCTTTCTTTCTTTCTTTCTTTCTTTCTTTCTTTCTTTCTTCCTTCCTTCCTTTCTTTTTCTTTTCTTCCTTTCTTTTTCTTCCATCCTTTTTTTCCTTCCTTTTTTCTTTCTTTCTTTCTTTCTTTCTTTCTTTCTTTCTTTCTTTCTTCCTTTCTTTTTCTTCTTTTCTTCCTTTCTTTTTCTTCCTTCCTTCTCTATATATACATATGGAAAATATCTATATATAATATATGCAGTATAGATAGAAGATGATCTCAGAGGGAAGATATATAGCATATGTGTGTGTATATGACATATATCATACATATATGTGTGTATATGTATGTATACATACACACAGTTGTTTGTATATTGTCTCCCCAATTTGAATGTGAACTTGTTGAGGGTAGAAAAAATGTTTTTGCCTTTCTTCACATATCCCCAGGGCTCAGCACAGTGTCTAGCACATAGGAAGCATCTGATAAGGGCTTGTCCACTGGCTCTAAAACAAGGCTGCAATGTGAATTAGGAGGGGTTGCTTTATAGGGTGACTAGGAAAAGAAAACTTTTATAGGGTAGTTTAACTCATCTCTCTCAGCTCTCCTCCCCCGCTCCCCTCAGCCTCCAAGGGATTAGTTAGGCTTTCGGATGTCACCTGCTAGGGAATTATCAAAGGCTTGGAATCTGATCAAGGACCCCTAGGTCCAAACATTCCTTTTTTGAAAAGTCCCTGGGCGGGTCAGACACCACCACCTGCATCTGAGGAATGACGAGCAGGCTCAAACAGCATCCGAGTTAGTTAACCTCTCAGTGCCGATGCCAAAGTCTCCGTGGGCTTGAATTGCCCATCTGCATTGATAGGAAGGAGTTTCTACACACAACAGTATACTGCACCCATGAAATAACAAAACTGGACCAAAAAAAAAACTAATTTAATCCTTAGTCCTACCTTAATGTGGTGGAGAGAGCACTGGATTAAGCATCAGAAGACTTGGCTCTGTCTCCTTAGCCTAGACCTCTCTCTCCTCAGGTTCTGTTCATAAGGGTGATGATCCTGGGGTTTTGGGAACATAGATCAAGGACAGGAAGGGCACTCAGGTGTCCTCTAGTCCCACGCCTTTCCTTTTACACATGAGGGGACTGAAGCCCAGGTAGGCTAAGTCACTTGCTCAAGGTCACCCAGGTTGTAGGGTGTCAGAGGAGTCAGAATTTGAACCCAGGTCCTTTGACTATAAATCCAGTACTCTTAAGACTCCATTGAAGCATCATGCATTGACCCCATCCCAGAGCCTTCCTCAAGCTCATGAGGCAACCAGATGTTGATGTTAATGACGACCATTTCACTTCCTCCAATAGAAGCTCCTTGGGGGAGGGGGTGCTGTCCTACTTTTTTACTTGTAGTGCCCGTGAATAATAAACACTTGTTGACTGATTGTTTGAGCTTGGATTCAATCTCTCTGAGCCTCAACTTTCTCTTCCACTAACCAACCCATACATGCCTGTTGTGAGGATCAAATAAGATCACGTATCTTTGTGTCCTAACACTCTAAGCCTGACCTATGATTAGTAGGAAGGATTATTCTCAGTTATAATTGAACAGTATAATCCTCAGATTTCTAACTGGCATTGATGCAGCACTTTAATGTTTACAAAGAGATTTATCCACATTACATTATCTCCCTGGATCCTCCCAACCACTGTTTTTGATATTATCAGTCCCATTTTAGAGATGAGGAAACTGAGGCTGAGAGAGTCTAAGAGATTTGCCCAGAGTCACTCAGTTATGAGAATAGGAAATGGGTATTGAGCCCCAGTCTTCTGGACTGCATGTCCAGCACCTTCTCCTCCAGGCAGCTAGGTGGTGCACTGAATAGAATACTGGATCTGGAAATCAGAAAGGCCTGAGCTCAGATCCTGCTTCAGACCATTACTAGCTGTGGGAGGCTGAGCAAGTCATTTAATCTCTGTGCCACATTTGTCTCATCTGTAAAATGGGGGTGATAATAGCTATTATATAATGGGAATAATAATAATAACAATAATGAGAACTAGGGCAGCTAGAGGGCACCATGGTGCCTAGAACTTTGGGTCTGGAGTCAGGAATTCTTCCTGAGTTCAAATCTGGCTTCAGACCCTTCCTAGCTGTGTGACCATGGGTAAGTCACTTAACCCTGGTTGCTTTAGTTTCCCCATCTGTAAAATGAGCTGGAGAAGGAAATGGCAAACCATTCTAGTATTTCTGTCAAGAAAACCCCAAATGGGGTCATTAAAAGTCAGACATGACTGGAAAATAACTAAAAATACCCTCAGACAGCTGTGAGGACCAAATGTGATAATATTTGTAAAGCTCTTTAAAAACCTTAAAGTACTATATAAATGGTAGCAATTATTATTATTATTATTATTACATCACACTGTCTCTAGCATCTGTTTGAGAATGTGTTTAACAGTAAAGGCTTAGCCTTTAGACATAGAGCTAAAGGGACCTCAGAAACCATCTTGTCCAATGCTTTCATTTTATAGATGCTAAAACTAAGGATCAGGGAGTTTCACCAACTTGTCCCTGACTGCATGTGGATTGTCTTAGAAGGGTGATCTGAACCCAGGTCTTCTGATTCCAAAGCCAGAACACTGTCCACTGAAACCACACCACTCCCTGTCTAGGAGAAGCCTGCATAACTGAACGTAAAACCAGGGAGACCTCGTTTCAAGTCCCACCTCCAACATTTACTAGCTGTGTGACCTTGGGCAAGTAGCCTGACCTCTCTGGGCTTCCGGCAATTTATGGACAAAATCACAGTTCCTTGAGCTTTGCATGTTGTTATGCATTCTCTTAGGCTAGAAAGTTAAAAAAAAAAAGTCTTTCTATTCGTCTTCACAGTCACACCCATTTTCCCCTCCCCTCCCTTTCAGAGTCACCACAGACACAGAGAAAACTCTGGCCCCAAGGAGAATCTCTGAGGTACCTGTTGCCCTCTCCCACTGTGCCACAGATCTTTGAAAGAACGAAGTCGCCTGGAATTTTTGTTCCTCTTCCACAGGTTTTTCTTACAGGACAGCAGCATCACAGAACACAGAAGTGATCCTACAGTGCCGCTGAAGGATGTAGGGCACGTGGCAGAGTGCGCCAAGGACAAGGCTAGGAACAAAGACACCTGGTGCAGCCCCAAACGGCCCTTGACTAGTGCCAGGGCTTTGCCTAAGTCACTTACTTATGCTGTGTAATGAGGAGATAGACCAGATGGTTCCTAAGACCCCTTCTAACTCGGACGATTTATGAATATGTCAGAGAATAAACAATTCTTGGACTTTGGTATAAAGGAGCAAGGGCTAGATTTGGAGTCAAGTCAAAGGACCTGGGTTCAAATCTCAGCACTGGTGCTACCCTGGAACCTTGGGCAAATCACAATCTCTCTGGACCCTCATTTTCTCATCCATAACATGTGAGGGTTGGATATTAAGTGAGATGTTTGCAAAGTTCTTTGCAAACCTTAAAATGCCATAATGATTATTGCTATTTTTTTTATTATTATGACCACTAGTGTTCCGGCTCTAAATCCCATGACTTCTAATGATTCTAGTTTTCAGTCCCTCATGGGGTATCACAGTCTGACCTCATTCATCTCATCCACTAAGCCCACCCTCCCCCCCCCCACACACACAGACACACAAAAACTGGCCACTTACCTGTCAAAGACTACTGCAGAATAAGCCGGCTCGGCAAAGACAACATCGGCAGCCCAGAGCTCTTTGGTGGTCTTAAGGCCCCGGCCTTTGCCTTCTGAAGTGAACACTTCAACTTTCTCCATGCTTCCTATTGTCATTGCAGAAACCTCCCTGACCCAGCACAGCAGATCTTAGCTGCTGCTATTTCAACACCTTTGGTATCCCAAAGACCAAGTCCATAAATGGTCTCGCCACCGCCCCTTCCCAACACAGCCCTCCTTCCCTCCCCTCACTCACCTCCTCCCCTCTGCCTGCCGCACAACTGTCCACAGGGGATGGGGTAGGGTGAGCAAGGCAGAGGGGAGGAAAGGAGAGGGTCCCCACTCCCCCCCCCAGCTGTCAGGACCAGTCAAAGCTGAAGAAAGGAAGACTCAGGGACTAGCTCTATTCACCACTTGGATCTGAAAGCATTTAGCGCATGCTTTCCCAAGCTGTGTGTACATGTTTGGAAAACCCAGACCCTAATTCATGCTCATGTTTTGCAAAGTGCTGGTTCACTGGGCTATTTTTAGCAGCCAGATGCTTCTGTCTATCAGGAGGCAACAGCTGAAACAGAGGCCTGAGGAAAAGTGGTATTTGCTGGGGCCCTTTCTAGTACCATAGTCAGGAGAGATCAAGGGACCTGAGCTGGGGGGGAGAGGGGCAGAAGCTGCTGACAAGGGCAGCAGTCTCTCTCCTCTACTGGGGCTGTGGGAGTCAGTGGAGACAGAGCCGGAATGAGAGTCAGAGAACCTAGACCCACATCCCAGCTTTGTCCTCTAAGACCCACGTAACCATCATGGCTCTACAGCTGGAAGCGACCCCAAAGGGCATCTACTCCAGTCTACCAATGGGTCCTCTCGTTTTACACATAAGGAAACTGAGGACCAGGGAAATGAAATTACTTTGCCTGAGGTCACAGAGGCAGGATTTGAACACAGGTCCCTAGACTCCAGTTCTGGTGTCCTTCCCTTGGGCACAACTTCCTCATCCGCAAAAAGAAAGGGGCCAGAAAATATGGCCTCCAAGGTCCTTGGCTCTCTATATATAATCCTCTGGGACCACTTTTCGTGTGCGTGCATGCGTGCGTGTGTGCGTGTGTGTGTGTGTGTGCAGCAGTGAGGGTCCTGACCTGTGACTTCATCAGTGTAGAAAACTCCTGATAGAAAAACTCCATCCGCCAATGTAGATTGGCAACTTAGAATCTTAGACAGTTGCCTGGGTCACTGAAAACTTAAGTGATTGTCCAAGCCAGAATGTGTCAAAGTTGAACCCAGTTAGGTCTTCCTAACTTTACAGGATCATGGATCATAAATATAGAGCTAGAAGGGGCCTTTAGAGGACAAGCTTGATCCTCTAATTTTACAGATGAGGAAACTGAGGAACAGAAAAGTTAAGAGGCATTCCTTAGGTCATCCAACTAGCAAGAAGCAGAACTGGGACTCCAAATGTGCTGACCCTCCATCTGGCACCCCATTGTCTCCCCTCTTACAGAAGGGAAGGGGGCTCTTTCTGAAATCCAAATGGAACACCCTTGATTTTCAGAAATTTACCTGATTTTGCATTTTTAGTACCTAACTGTGGCATCTCAAAGACCTCATTGTCCTGCCTTGAGCAAGGGTGACTTAAGGGACATATAGGATTATAGGAGCATCTATTATAGCTGGAAAGGAGCTGGGAGGACATCGATGGAGTGTCATGTTCAAGAAACAACAAAGAGACCAGTATAGCCAGATTACAGAATGTGTGGCAGGGAGAACATGTAGAAGACTGGGAAGGGAGGAAGGGACCAGGTTGTGAAAGACTGAATGACAACAGAGGATGTCACATTTGATCCTGGAGGTATAGGGAGTCATAGGAGTTTACTGATTAGGAGGGTGACATGGACAGACATGGCAGCTGAGTGAAGGAGGCACTGGAGTGGTGTGGCAGGAACAATGGATCCTAACCCATCCCGCTCCACCCCACCCTCACTCCCACTTTTATGCGAGTTAGGCTATTTTTGCCTTAAAAGGTATTACAACCATCCTCAAGACTCAGATGATTTGTGAAACTAAAGACCAGAGGACCACCATGGGCAACTCAGAGGCAGGGGAATTTCATTCAGTTAAATAAACTTGGGGTATCCTGAAAGCCTATCCTTAGTGAATAAATAACCTTCTACTTGGCTAAGGAAATATCTTTGTTAACTACTGAATGACCCATAGCTGCCTCACTGCATTCCAATATGGGACTTAAACCACCAGGAGACTAGCCTAAGCCAGGCCCAGCACAGAACAAATGGAAAGAAACTTAAGGCAGGAAACTAATTTGAAGGTTCTTGATCTGATGACAGTGAAGTCTTGTACCCAACTCTTCAGGCTTTGACAATCTAGGAAAATAAATATCCAACTGGTCACCCATTTATTATACAACCACTCTAAAGTCTGTCAATACTTGTCAGCCTAATGGGTTATTTGCTTTACTAATTGGAATGTTTTGCCTGGATGGGGGAATAAAGTCTTGGTTGGATATGAGAAGGTGCAGACCTGAATGTAAGGAGTTCCTCCCTGAGACCTCCCTACATAGATGAAATCATGTGTCTGGTTTTTTAAAAAATCGGTAAGCAATAAATAAAGTAGGACCTTGTGTTCACTCTACCTCTCAGACAATTGTGTGACTGTGAAAATGTGTCCAAGGGTCTTGTCTGTTCCCTTCTCCTGTTTCCATCAAGGACATCCTTAGAACATGTGTGAACTGTTCTCACAATGATTTTGTAAAGATCAGAAAAAAACAGACATGGGGTCCAGAGCAATTGATGTCTTCTTAAAAACCACACTTTGGGGACAGTAATATCTAGGACTTTTTTTTATACTCTTCCCATCTTTGAAAGATCTTTTTAAAAAATCAATCCTTGGGTGCCTTTCCCATTGTAACACTTTGAGGACAGATTTTTTTCTATGTGCTTTTGCCTTCTTTATATTCTTAAACACCATTTCCACTTCCTCTTATAGCCTTTGGGGTACTTTTGTACTGGAACATTCCAAATAAGCTCAAATAAGATGGTTCCACTGCCAGCAACAGTAAATGGACAGCTCTAAAAATGCTGACAAATCTGTTCCATTTTGCAACTATCTGTTGTCTTCCAAAGATTCTTGGGCCGATGTGGTTGAGTTAGGTCTCCTATCAAGCTTTCCATCGGTTTCACCCTCCACTACCTTCCATTCTTTTGTGATTTGGACTTAGGTCTCAGATTTAACAAGTATTTCTTAAGTGCCTACTATGTACCAGTCACTGTGCAAAGGGATTCACAAATACTATCTCATTTTATCCTCATAACAACCTTGGGGGGAAGGTGTTATTATGATTTGTATTTTATAATTGAGGAATCTGAGGCAAATAGAGATTAAGTAACTTGCCCAGGGTCATATAGCTAATAAGTGTCTGAGGCAGAATTTGAACTCAGGTCTAATTGATTCCAAATCCAGGGCTCTATCCACTCTTCCACCTTGATACAAGTGTGAAACAGTACTATTCGCAAGCATATATCCATGGTTACAAAGAGCTTCGTATACAAGGTCTCATTTGGGCCTCACAATGCCCTATGAGACAGGTGGAACACCAGAGAGTTTAAGTCACTTGTTACAGTCACCCAGTGAATCAATGGCCAATTCAGGCCTCAAGCCCAGCTCTTCTGACTTCCAGTCTGGTTCTCTTTCCATAACAACTTCTGTGGGAGTATTCCTTTAAAAATACACTGAGGTCCAGTGAGGCCCCCACGAAGCAGGGACAGACTCTTCCTCCCAGTAAGTGGGCCTCGGATAAAAATAGCAATGCAATAGCAGGCTTCCCTCTCCACGACTGATAATGCCTGATAACGGCAGTTCGTGAGAGACTGGAGACATTGCCTCAGCACCAGGCGGGAGCCATTTGCTTGAAGTATATACATCAGTCAGCCTGGTGCCAGACAGACATACAGGGATTGTTTGCTAGGTCTCCTGGTCTTCATCTTTGTTTGAATGGCCCAGAACACACCTACTTTAGAATAACTAGTTTAAAGAGCACATGCCTTTTGAAGGATTTTTAGTGCTTTGGAGAATACAAAAGGAGTGTTGGGCTACATATAGGTGTGGACATGGTGTGCACATTCTCAGAAGGAAGATGGGCTGCTACCAGCCTTCGAAATATGGACATACTAGATGGCTGGAGGACCACTGAACCATTGACCTTACAGCAATCCAAATGGTTTTATAATTGAGAACAAGATCAAATGAATAGTAACATGGGATCATAAATAAGAGGGAGGTGTTCCTAACATTTTTTTTGTCATGTCAAGTCAACCAAAAATTTAGCCAGCACCTACTATGTGCCAGGCACCATGATAAGTACTGGGGTTATAAAGAAAGTCAAAAACCAGTCCTTGCTCTCAATCTGGTGATGCCTGTGGGTCCCTTCTACGCAACACAAGTTTAAATGCATAAAATAAAATACACAAGTTACAAAGGAAACCAATTATATTGAAACAGTTATAAAACATGTTTAAGTTTATAGACTTCCTGTGCTACAGCTTGAAGGGACCTTAGAGATCACCAAGGTCCAATCTCCTTATTTCTCAGCTAAGGAAACTGAAGTACAGAGAGTTGGAGTAATTTGCTTCCAGTTACACAGGGAGGATCCAAATATTTAGAGTTGGCAAGGACTTAGAAGCCATCTATTTCAACCCCTTCATTTTACAGATCAGGAAACTGAGGCCCAGGGAAAGAGATGTTAAATGACTTGTCGAAGGTCATACATGCAAGTAGGGTAAGTCCTCTGGAAGAGGAAGGTTGCACCTATCAGAGAAGCTGAGAAAGCTTCCCTCACTCCATGCTTCCAGATGGAGATTTAAACCCAACCTTTCATGTTTCCTCTTTCAACTGTTTTCTGTGGTTTCAATAGTGTTTTGAGCTTAATTTCTTTAGATAAAAGTTAATTCTCCATTGTCTTACAGATACATCTTAAAATGTGATCAAAATGCACTATGGGAGAAGGCCCAGCTCTGAGGTAGTTTTATATCACAGAACATGTAAGCTGTGACTGGCCCATTTGGTATTTTAGAAACCATTCAGGGACAGGCCAAGCCAATACTGATGAATTTGAT